TTTAGAAGTATATTTTGGACTTATATCTATACATGTTTAGAAGTGACATTTCTTGCTGATTTTAATATTTTCTTTGTTTTCATTCCTTAAAATTAATGATCGGAATGAACTTAAGCTTGCTTTCTTTGTTCCTTTGCTAGATAACAGATCATACTTTTCTTTTACAAATTCTACTTTGCAGGCCGTCGTGTTTACTGATATCAGCTTAGAGAAGGCTATTGAGTTTGATGATTATTGTCACAATCACCAACCCTCAATAGCTTTCATTAAATGTGAAATTCGAGGCCTTTTTGGAAATGTATTCTGTGACTTTGGACCAAAATTTACAGTTGTCGATGTTGATGGAGAGGAGCCTCATACAGGCATAATTGCATCGATTAGCAATGACTGCCCTGCATTTGTGTCTTGTGTTGATGATGAGCGGCTGGAATTTCAGGATGGCGATCTTGTTGTATTTTCTGAAGTGCAAGGAATGACCGAGTTGAATGATGGAAAACCTAGGAAAGTTGCAAGTGCTCGACCATATTCTTTTGTCCTTGAAGAAGATACTACAGGGTTTGGCGCATACAGCAGAGGAGGTATTGTGACACAAGTGAAGCAGCCCAAGGTCATACAATTCAAGCCTTTAAGAGACGCGTTAAAAGATCCAGGTGACTTTCTTCTAAGCGATTTCTCCAAATTTGATCGCCCGGCTCTGCTACATGTGGCGTTTCAAGCTTTGGATTCATTTCGACAAGATTTTGGACACTTCCCTATGGTTGGGTCAGAAGAAGATGCTGAGAAACTAATAGATTTAGCTTTCAAAATCAATGAGAACTTGGGTGTTCGTAAACTGGATGATATTGATAGGAAGGTTCTCTATCATTTTTCAAGTGGTTCCAGGTCTGTCTTGAATCCAATGGCAGCAATTTTTGGTGGTATTGTTGGGCAAGAAGTTATGAAAGCTTGCTCTGGAAAGTTCCATCCCCTTTTCCAGGTTAGATTTGCAGCTAGCTATGGTTCTCTTTTTGTTTCCATATCTTGTGTGCTATTAACATGCATGTTTATGTTTATTTTTATTCTTTTTTGTATGATTTTATTTTTCTGTACAGTTCTTTTATTTTGATTCACTGGAATCACTCCCACCTGAGCCTCTGGAACCTAATGACCTGAAGCCATTGAATTCCCGATATGATGCTCAAATCTCAGTATTTGG